AATTCTCTTGCTTCCAAAAAAAATAAAATTTTAAAAATGTCCTGTTATCAAATTTTGTTCATAAATAAAAAAACCCGTGTATTTTGTGTTTCTGCTAAGAAATTCACAACTTCCAAAAAATGTTCGGGATTTAAAAAATGTTCCTATTTTTAAAAAATGCTCACTAATTTTTGAAAAAATTCATGATTTCATTTTTTGGAGTTTCAAAAAATATTATTTTTTTAAAAAAAGTGTTAGTGTTTTAAAATTTTGGTTGGGAGTTTAATTTTTTTTTGTATTTCCCAATTTTGTTTTGGAATTTCCAAAAATGTTCCTATTTTCAGAAAAGGAGTTCATGATTTCAGAAAATGTTCATGCTTTTCAAAAAAAATTCAGTTTTTTCTAAAAATAGAAAATTTAAAAAGTGTTTGTGTTTCACAAAACTCTCAATTTCTTTAAAATGCACTCAAAATTCTGAAAATGCATTCAAAAGTGTTTGCTCACTAATCAGTAAAGCTCGCTTGCTCATCCAGTTGCAGCGCATGATCTGGAGCTCCCGATCTATGGTTCAATTTCCTGCGATGTACAAGTTCGAATTTTGATTTCTTTTTTAATGGTTGGATTTTTTTGGTACTACAGTTCAAGTTCGCTGGCGGTCAAGGGCCGGCCCAGTCGGAGACCCACCTGTGCGAAAGGACGACTCTTTGCCGCAGAGAGCGGCATATAGGAGGGCTCGTTGTTATCCACCACGACATGCCTACGTATCGCGCGTGTGGGCCGTTGGGCCGTCGGACCAAAACAGGCGATGCAGCGGAAGCGGCGCCGTACATAGGGTCGTGGATATATAGCAGCGCCCTCTGGCAAACCCTAATGCGTGAGTACCACGGAGAAGGGCGGCGGCCGCCCCGCGCGCATCCAAGCAGCCGAGGCCGGCGGCGCGGTTCGAGGCTCGCTTCTGCTCCGACGGCCCCTCCTCCACGAAGCGCGCGCGCGCCCGTTCCGGACCCTCTTCGCGGCGGACGCGCACCACCTGTTCGACCGTTGGCCGGACCAGCCCGCTCCGACGCCAGAGCGCGCTCTAGACGGCCGCGCGCGGGTACCCTCGTCAACCCCCATAGTAAGACACGCAGAAGCAGGGAGCCAATCCTCTGGTTGAATTTGTCCATAGCATCAGCCATCCTGCCATTCAAATGCATTTTTGCACGATGGGGAAGATGGCTGGTGCTATGGATAAATTCAACCCGATGGTTGAGCATGCCCGACTGGAAGAAGAAGCCTTGCTTGGAGTTGAGTGAGCCGGCAAATCAGTTTGAAACAGGGAGCCAGTTAATCCGGTTTAATTTGTCCATAGCATCAGCGATCCCGCCATTCTGTGGTCAATGCTGCCCTATGGCACGATGCGGGATAGCTGGTGCTTTGGATAAATGCTGGTGCTTTGGATAAATTCAACCCGATGGCTGTGCATGCCCGAATGAAAGAAGAAGCCTTGCTTAAAGTTAAGTGAGCCGACAGTCAGTTTGAAGCAGGGAGTCAGCTCATCTCTGTCACCTGGTTGATTTTCCTATATCGTCATACAACCTGTCAACAGAATTTTGCAGAGTGGGTAGGTTGGATGTTGCTGTGGACGCATTCCATTGGGTGACTCTTATCCGACAGCCTGACTACCACAGGACGTATTTCCCTTTTAGTTGCCTGATTCATGGTTATTGTACTCACGCTGACTCTACTTTTAATCTGCCTTACTCTAACTGAATATCCTGTTATCTAGAAAAAGATAGTTGAAATCTAGACCTAGATAACTCTTCCTTGTTTTAGCAGTTTGAAGCAGCATACATGGTATCATGGTCCCAAGGACCAAGATCTAGACAGTGCAAAGGTGATGAAGAGGAGTCTTCTATTGGATTGAACGAGAAATGTAACTGTTTTCACGTGATTCAAGACATCCAGGGTGTTTGTACCGTGTCCTGCAAATGGTTCATATGTATTTGGTTGTCCTTCAGGTTTAGTTTGCTGTGGCGAATTCTGCTACTCCTTCCGTAAAAAAATATAAGAGCGTTTAAGATTACTAAAGTAGTGATCTAAACGCTCTTATATTTTTTTACAGAGGGAGTAGAATTTGGTACAGTGAACTATGGTCATCTATGTCTTTTAGTTTTGCAAGTGTGCTAGAAGGTTAGAAAGCTCGTTCATGTATGAAATTTGTACGGTTCTAAACTTAAAAATTCAGGGGCATTTTCACCCACAGTATTGTCGTGGTCATAATAGCACATCTCAAAATTATTGAGGGCCGGTTCTACAATATTATTTTGAAATACAAAAAGCTTGCAGCAGATATCCTCTTTTGGAATTATAAGTGCAATCCTGAATGGTGTTTTTGAGTCCCCTCTGTTTCTCCTGGGCATTAATCTATGCACAACAACCTCTTCTCTGCTGGATGACAAACAAAGTTCGCATCTCAGATATTTGCTAGATTTGCATGAGCCATTTTGCTGTCAGCTAAATCGTTCAAGTGAGCTGTAAGATCATGTTTCCGAAATTTGGTGCATTTTAACCTTTATGCATGTTTGGCATGAAAAGGAGCTTGACATTCATCCTTTTCAGTTTTTAGGGGTGGTCTTCTAAATTAGCACAGAAAAGGAACAATATATTTTTTATCACTCACCCGTTATCATAATTTTGTCGAAGGATGTATCTGGAAGAGGCTATGCTTGTCAGTTGAACAATTTCATATAGTATATATGTTAATTTCCGTGAATTGACTTCTTATATTCCAATTCATGGGCGCAGCAGGTACAATCTCAGTTCCTTCTGTGCACGTTATTTTCTGTTGCTGTTAATTTTGAATGGAGTAAACAAGATCGGTTAGCAAATATGCCCTACATATTGTGAACATTTTCATATATCTTTTTTCATACAAATTATTGGCATAGTACAAGATTGCACTTTTACTTCGTATATAGTTGCTTTGCATTTCCATTTAATAACTAACCAAAAGAAGGAAAAAGCAATAAACTACCAGCAAAAGCGAAAGGAGCTTATTACACAGCCAAGCATCCCACACACACAGAGGTGTTTTAAAGTCATCCTAAAAACATGTACTGCAGGGACTACCATTGCGCCATCGTTTTTGCTGGAGCATCCATCCGTGAAACATCCGTTGAAAGGCATCTTCAACCAGCTAACTGTTGAATCCCCGTCCTCCATCCATGGACATTACCAAGGGCAGGCTTCATTTGCTACTTGCTTGAATTTTCTACCAAAGGCAGGCTTCATTTGCTACAGGCTTCATCCATGGACATTACTAAGGCCAGGCTTCACTACCAACGGATGTTGTGCCCCTATGCTGTATGCTTTGATGGATCTTTTCACTACATAGTTCGGACCTCTGTTCGATGTGTGTGCTACTCTGCCATTTATTTGGTTTTATTTATAAAGTCGGGTTTCGGCCTTTCTCTCCAGAAGAGAAGTGGAAAACAAATGTGCTGTGGTCTGTTTGCCCGTAACAGATTTTCTTTGAACGAGTTCCTGCTGATTTATGTGTCATGTCTGAGTAGCTTGTCTGCAATGAGGTCACCACTTCCTGTCTTTCATTGTGACACGTTGACGTTGGCATCTTCCCTTAGAATGATGTAGTATGTGGATCCGACATGCATGTATTAAAAGCTTTTAGTTGCCAACACTGAACTACATGGATACAGGGCACTATCTGGTTTCCAACCATAGGGTTGCTATGCATAAGTTGTTGAGACATGCAAACAATTTGGATGCATCAAAGCACCAGTGGTCTAGTGGTAGAATAGTACCCTGCCACGGTACAGACCCGGGTTGGATTCCCGGCTGGTTTATTTCTATGCATTTTTTTTCTCATTTCCCTGGGCCTTGACAGTGTTTGAGTTTTTTTTTATCATTTCCCTGGGCCTTGTCACTAATGTCACTGTCTGACTGTTGATATAAACTTGCTCCCTCCATTTCAAAATAAATGAATTTATAAGTTTACCTTAAGCCAAACTTGTTTAACTTTGTTCAAATCTACATAAAAATGTGGTAAGATCTATGACACCAAATACACGTAGTAAAACCAAAGAAAGAAAACCGAAGAAAAGCGGTGAAGAAACAAAAGAAACCCAGAAAAAACTAAAAATCAGTACAACGATGAAAAAACCCAGCAGCGAGCGAGCATCTTCAATTGAAAACCTAGAGAACAAGAAAAATCAGACTAAATGGTCCGGCCCAATATCCTCGCGTGGCGGAATAACCTGCAACGTGATGGGTATAGTCGTCGTGAAAAAGAAATATTGTTGAACATGTGTGCTGTAACTGTTGAAGAAAAAAAAAGTACAGCAAACCAACCTGTGGTTTGAATGGTTAGGAGGACAGTGGTATTCTTAACCGATCAAAGTTCAAGTGTTAGACTTGACATTGTTGTTCGCATTTTTCAGGATTTATTTCAAGCCTTTCAGCAAATCAGCAATATGCGTTTAGTGGAAGGAGACTATCCGTTCATTATGAAGAAGTCTGTGACAACTTTATCAATTTTAAGATGATGTGCCGACTCAATCTCTGAGAGGTGCTAATAGAGATATGACGTGCGCGCGTGCGTGTGTTCATATCAGTGAGTGTATGTATGTATGAGCATCTGCATCTGTGTTAAAAAAAATAAACCTGCGTGCGTTATTGAGTAAGCTGTCACGTTTGCAAAGACAGCCAAGGCAACGGCCGACCGTCGGACCCGCCCGTTGTCTCTTCAGCAAGCTCCATCTGCCAAGAAAGAAGCCCTCGGAATGATCACTCGCCGCTACGGTACAACGCAGACGCGCGCCGGCCGCCGGCCGGCTACGCGGTCATCGTCTCATCGATTACTTGACGCGCTCTCCGCAGCAAATTTAACCCTACCAGTTAATTACTCCACGATCAGCAAACCCTAGAAACACCACACCACACCCGGTCCACCAATCGGAAGCCGTGCCAGCAGCAAAAAAAGAGCAAGAACACGTACTCGTCGTCGTCGTCGGCTAGCTGCCATGGAGGTGGACGGGACGCCGGACCTGACGGACTTCATGAACGACTGGTTCTTCGGGACCGTCGGCGTGAAGCACAGCGCCGTCGCCGCCGGCTCCCCCGCGTACGACCTCACGGGCGAGAGCAGCAGCAGCAGCAAGAAGAAGCAGTCGTCGGAGAAGAAGCCGCAGAGGGCGGAAAGCGAAGGCGGCCGTAGCGGCGGCGGCGGCAGCAGCAGGGCCAGCAACGCGAGCAAGCAGACGCAGGAGTGGCTGGAGGAGGCCAAGAGGATGATGGTCGGGTCCGGGTCGCCGGGGCGGATGGGCTCGCCGTCCAGGCAGGTGCCCAAGTTCGCCGGCGGCAACGGCACGGAGCCCTCGCCGGCGCTCGACCGCCGGGACCCCATGTCACGTTCCGCGAGAAGGTATATCGGATCATTCCGTTCGTGCATATGCGCGCGCCACTGATGCATTGTGATCTGTAGTTTTCGGTGCAAAACATCGTCTCGTCTGAGTCGTCTCACAGCTCATTTTTTTTATACACGTTTATTTTGATTAGGGCATTTTGGAGACCAAGCTCAAGTGCTTTATTTTTCAAATTTCTAACTTCTCAGTTAAAAAAAAAGAATCTCAAAATAAAATACACATGCATACAAGGAAGTAATTGTATGTGTGTAAAGTTTTAGGATGAAATATCTTGAATTGAGAGCTGCAAAAAAATCATGGACTTTGAGGATGAGCAATACATATGCTAAAAAAACCATAGATATGTTTTTTTTGTAGCCCGTTCGACCTGAAAATTTAAACACAAGTACATTATGTCTCTAGGTATATGTGTATTTGTTTTCAAAACATTTGAAACTGTTTGAATTTGGAAGGTTTTAAATTTGGCCTCCATTTGGCATTTTCGGTTTATTTTCTACTATCTAGCACTATGTGAAAAAAATGCTCTCTCCATTATTTGTTTATGAAGTGTATTAATTTTTTGAAAGCCAAACATTTCTATCTCTGATTAAGTTTGTAGAAAGAATACCAGCATCCACTATGCCAGCAAAGTCTGTTAGATCCACCATATTTCATTTATTTCGTATTGTATATACTGTTAAATTTTCTATAAAATTGGCTAGGGATATAATTTTTTGACATTTAAAAATATTAACCTATGAATATCACATATAGTATTTTATTTTCATCATAATTAATATTTTTTTTAACTATAATTTTGAGAGGTTTTTGTAACTCTATCATCATCTCACTTTTTGCACAAAAGAATTCGCATATTTCGTATTTCGGCTTTAATGGGCCGAACTAGGCCGAAAGCATATTACTATCGGCCCAACAATGATGAATGAGTGGCCCAGTTTCAAACCACGCCGGAAAACTTCGCCACCCACTGGGCGCCGCTAAGCGCTGCTCCTCCCGGCGTGTGTGTGCAGGCACCGGCAGCCGGGCGGCATCGGCGACGAGATCCTGCAGCGGGCGTCCATTATCTCCTCGCCCCCGCGCTCCGACACCTCCACCCCGTCGGCGCCGCCGTCCCCTTCCCCGTCCCTGCCGCCGAACCCGCACTCGTCCCGCCGCAAGTCCCGCTTCCACGGCCCCTCCGGCCCGGACCCATCCGCCTCCCTCCGCCGCACAACCTCCTCGGCGTCCAACTCTCCACCCTCCGCCTCCGCGCCCCCGCGCCCCGTGCACCACCGCCGCCACGCGTCCGCCTCTGGCTCCCCCGCCGTCGACGGTTTCGACGACGGCGTCGCCCGCCTCAACGCCTTCCTCCGCCGCCAGCGCGCCGCCCTCGCCGACCAGTCCTCCGGGGACCGCTCCTCCCGCTCGAGGTCCACGAAGCTCGTGCTCTCCGACGCCTCCAAAAGTAATATCAATTGGTCCTCATGTTTTATCCCTAAAGCGTATCTGAATCTAACCACCAGTATCGCTCGCTCGCTTGCGATTTTCTCCTGTTGATTTGGAGCAGGTGTGAGCTCGATCGTGGCGGCGATATGCTACGCGTGGATGCAGTCGAGCAAGGGGGACGGCCACGCGGCGGCGGTGCCGGTGGTGAACATGCGCCGGAGCAGGATGACGGGGTGCAGGCAGGCGGCCTGGCTCCTCTACCACGTCGGGGTCGACGCCTCGGCCCTGCTCTTCGCCGACGAGGTAGGCCATGCCTTGCAACAATGGGGTGCTTGATTGTACTTAGATGGCCAGCATGGGATTCTTCTCCGACAGACAACTGTCTAGGTCCCGTTCCAGAGTTATTGGGCTTTTATAATTTGGGCAGAGGCGACAAGGATGATGAGGCTATACAGCAATCCATCGCAGTGCCATGTGGGTGTTCTTAATTCCGATTGGTACCATGTGGCCGCCATTCCATTCGAGTGAATGGCGATGACTGATATATGCTTTGTGCAATTGCGAGTTTGGGTGCTAGCCTGTACCTCATGTGTTGCCCCCGTTAATATGCACAGCAACAAATGAGGAACGCCATGAGTATATGGCGCATTTATTTTTTCTGCATAAGGTGTAGGATGGCAATGCGCCGCGGTGGCATATCAACTGCTTGTTCCTGCAGATACATCCTGGGTAAAGCAGATGTATAATGTATGATGCTGACTTTGGGAGGCTGAACTGAATTATAGGTTGATATGGAGGGATTAATAATGGATCAGCGGGCCAGCTTGGTGGTGGTGGGGCAAGATGTTTTGAGATCAAACGGTGAGGTAATATCGTGTACTTGTGCTAAGTACTTTTGGTTCGTCTGGTGAAGAAATCATATGGTTCCGTCATTTACTTCATAATCATGCTTGTTTTTGTCTCCTAGGCGGGCTCAGTTTGCACACTCCTCGCCAATGACCATTCTGAAGAAGCTTATGCCCTACTTCAGAGCCTGGACATAAAGAAACTTCTGGTTGGTGGTGTATTTTCAACCTGCTCTAGCGATCGTTGTGCGTAAATTACTGGCACGCCTGATTATGTTCTGTGGGTTTGCCCTCAGCTTGCAGGTATCCTGTTAGATACGAACAACCTTTCCAAGATGTGCTCAGACAAAGATTCAGAGGCGGTGCGATCGCTCTTGCTCGGTTCCTCTGAGCATAAACGGCATGAATTGTTTCAACAATGTAATCTACTCATCTTTGTCTGACGTTGATTTGCGAAGAAGCTATATAGAAAAGTGGCAAAATCATGTTAGTAATAACTATTGGAAACTTTGACGTTGTTTTGGACCAGTGATGCTTGATCACAATGAGCATTCTTTCGTGGAGTTCTTGAAGAACACCTACAGAAAGTCATCCACAGATGGTGAGTTTTCTCCATAATATCTTCACATGGTTCCTCACCTCCTTTTTTGAAACTTCTTTGCTTCGAGTACTGTACTTATCCGCGTCTAAGATAAATTTGCAACCTGCCTATTCTTACTACAACTAAAACATCATTGATGTTTTACCGCCGATGCCATTAGAGCCGATTTTGCTCATTGTTAGCAACTTCAGTTATTAAACATTTCGCCTCTTGCAGCAACTGTGACTCAGATGAAACTTCGGCAATAGCTCTTCCAGTTCTAAATGATATGTTTATTTTATAAGTACATTACCCGTGCATTTGTCCTGAAATGGTCTGACACAATTTTATCCTGTTGTTCAAATTAACTAGGTGCTGGGGACAGTCCTCCAGAGCAAAAGAATTCAGTTTCAGGGGCATCCCAAGATGCTAAAAAGTCCAATTCAGGTAATGTTTCTAATGCCTCCATTATGTTTGAAAGGCAGACCCCCCATAAAATCCAACACCTGCAAGAGCGCCAAATCTGTCTCTGGTTTTACCTTGATTTTGAGAGGAAGAAGTCCTAGCTATCATTGCTTGAAACAATCAAACACTCGTTTTGAATATTATATTTGCATTATTGAACTTATGCCCAGTTTACACTTTGACTGCTCTTTCTAAACTTACTATGCTAGTAGCTAATTGGCGAAGCATCAAAATCCGCTGTACTCATATATATATATATATATATATATATATATATATATATATATATATATATATATATATATATATATATATGCCAATGCAATTACCTTCTTAGTATGGTGTAGCTCTGATGTGGTTGTTTTTGTTTCCATTACAGCTAACCAGAAACCAGCACGTGGAAATAGTGGAAAGCCTTCAGAGGAAGCTCCTCAGGGGAAAAACAAATTTTCCTTGGCAAAATTTTTTGGTTTTGGCCGAAAATAAACTTATTTACTAGTAAGCAAAGCTACAAATCACTTCATATGCCAATGCAATCTATTTATCTTACGCAATATAGCTCTAATCTGGTTGTTTTTGTTTCCATCACAGCTAACTAGTGACCAGCACGCAGAACTAGCGGAAAGCCTTCAGGTGAAGCTCCTCATCAGAAAAACAAATTATCGCTGGCAAAATGGTTTGGTTTTGGCCCAAAATAATATATTTTTGTTAGTTTGAGTTTTTTTGGTCAACTGATATATCGCAAAACTCGATAAGTATCGTGCGCCGTCTATCTAGGAAGTATGAGGCTCGAGAACCTTTCTCCTCATATTAAGTTCATGTGGAAAGATCACTGTATGAAACATTTTGTAACTATTCATCATATCGGCTGGTTGGTCAACAAGTTTACTTTTCCATGTTCGCATATTTGACTATCTGCTAACGAAGCAGTCCCCATTTTATTCTATTTTATACTAGAATCGTGAGGAGAGCGTAGGATGCTGTTGATTGCAAGTATACTAGTATAACATAACAAAGACGCATACAAATTCTCTTCGTCTAGATTCTATGGCACTCCTGGTTTAAACAATGTATGTCAGCCAGTGGGGAAGGCATGAGCATTAGAATGGATAAAACTTTGTCAACTTCTCAGCTGATGGTAGGTATGTACTACTACATGATTGACCTGTTCTCCAGGGAGCTACTGTACTTTCTTTTCTCTTGAGCCCTGTATAACCTATATTTGCTTCATTTTTCTTTGCCTGTATGAAACATAGTATCTGATCTGTAGTAGCCTTTTTCTCTTTCATCTGTTGGTTACTAAATAAAATCGGCCCAGTGGACATCCCTGAACCCTCAACTTGGGCATGGGGATAACCAAAGCTGCACGGTCCAAATGTGACCATTACCGAAAACCTGGGTGAAAAACAGTGCACTCTTTGACCAGTCGCCGTCAACAATAGCACAGCCGAGTTAAATACTACAGCTATTGTACTAGTGCTCCTATCTGGTGTCCTTGTCCATACCTGCTCTCCTTGTTCTTGAACGGAGGAAAGCAGAGGGATGTTAGTCTGTTAGTTAGGCCGGTCAAAGTGAGTGAGTGGAAGATGATAACAAGGAAATCAGAGGCAGTGTAGAGTAGAGAGTACTGCTAGATACGAGTAGGAGTTAGGAGTTAGGAGGGACCAGTTCTCTACTTCTCTTAGCTGGAGTTCCCCTGGATAAACCGGCATGATTGATCGGGAAAGGCCATATGCCCTTCTGCCTGTCATGTCGCCACCCTCCATGCGTGTTTCCCCATCAGGACCTGGCTGTTCCTCGCCCCCAGGACTACCCTGTGCCCCTCCACGCCGATCCTCCATGTGCACGCACAAGAAGCTCCAATGGAACAGAAGAGAATGGCATGGCCTCAGCCTCAACCTCAATCAGACACACATTCACTCCCCCTCTTACACTCACACATCGTTACATACTTACATTACATGGTAGAAGTATGTTGCTCGTAACATGGTGAAATGTCCATCATCAGCCGCTCTGTAATGTGGCGGCAGTAACAAACGAATGTAGGCAGGGTGTCTAGCTAGCTAAGTCTAGCTCATTCGATCTTCCATGCGTAGAGGAAGAGGCAGAAATCGGAGAACTCGTCGGCGAGGGCGGCGTCGGAGTCGGGCGAGGGGGGCTGGGGCTTGAAGATGAAGAGGGCCTGGCGCATGCCGGTGCCGAAGAGCCAGTCGTGGGCGTCCCAGTAGACCTGCACCTTCATCTTGTTGATGGAGATGCAGTCGTTGCCCCTGAACTTCCACTGGAGGTGCTTGACGAGCACGTTGACGCAGCCGTCGATCTTGATGGCCATGTCCACGTCCGTGCCGCCGCCGCCGCTGCCGAGGTTGCCGCTGCTGCACTCGATGCTGATGTCGTGCAGCTTCCCCTTCTCGTGGAACCTCGCCCGGGTCAGGAACCGCTTCTTGCTGAACACGTGCTCCTTCTTGCACACCATGGCCGCGTCCCCCAGCGACAGCGACGGCCGGGCCCCCGTCCGCCGGAACGCCTCCTTGTTCTGGTTGCCGAGCAGGAGCACCACCTCCTCGCCGGAGACCACCGCCACGTAGTAGTCCGACACCGGCTCCGGCTCGTCGGAGAACCGCGCCGCCCGCAGGTCCCACACCACGTCCACCGCCCGGCCGTCCACCTGGAACTGCTTGGCCCCGTACTTGCGCCAGAAGTGCCACGGCTGCATCTCCACCTTGCACGCGCTGCAGCTCTTATTGGCGCCGCCCTCGATGCCGCCGCCGCTGCCGTGCTCCCTGCCGCCGCCGCTCTTGTCCTTGCCGCCGCCGGCCGACCCCTCGATGGACACCTGCATGCCGTGGGCCAGCAGGTTCCTGCACCACGTGACGGTGACCAGCCGGCTCTGCCCGGAGATCACCGCGCGGTACACCAGCGTCACCGCGCTCTGCCCCGACCTGGTCGCCGGCGCCGCCGACGCCGGCGCGTCCGGCAGCTGCTTCTCGCCCGACGAGAAGCAGGAGGGCACCGAGAACAGGTCCTGCATCCTGCCTGCCCCTCACCCGACTCGACCAAGGCGCCTATCCACTAGTGATGAGCCTATGACGAGCCGACGAGCTGAGAGACACTCGGGGATGGATGAATGATGGGCTAAGGAGGAG